ATGTTTACCTTAGTGGGGACGGAGGTGAGGCCAAAGGTAGCTGAAAGAGAGAGGATTAAGGGCTCATGTTTCACCTGGTTCTCCTCCGGCGCAAATGGATTTACGTGGACGTTGCAGCAGAGGCTGCGCAGGCCTCGGACGCCCCTGCGCCATTCGGAAACACCCATTTTAACTAACAGGAAAAGGGTTCTGAGTTACAGTCTCAACTTACCCACAGCAAGTTGTTTGTAACACCCACTTTGTACTCAACTAAACGCTTTTCCTTTCTTTGTGACTACCTCCTGGAGAACTGTAAAGTCAGTTGCTTTTTAAGCTGTGATTTTTTTTTTTTTTTTTGCTTACATGGTTCCGTATCCGTTTAATCATTCTGTTTGACAGACTATTATGATATCCTACAGCTTGATGTGTGCATGAACCCAACCAAGGATTGTTGTTCAGGAAAGAGAGTCTTTTGGGGGGAACAAAGTTAATCAGGATTATTTCCCCCGTTGATAGTAGCAGCAGGGATTTGGTTCATTTCTGTAGAAATAGTTGGGGGAGCAAGTACTTGGAGCCCCTCCCTTCTCCGCCCCCCCTGCCCCCCACTATCCTAATCAGGGCTGCTGGGAAAAGTCTCCAGCTTCCTTGCCTACCACCACCCTTTGCAAAGAAAAGTGGCAGCTACTATATCACCCATGTGGGGATAGTCTGGACCTTGCAGTCCTCTTCAGGATCACTTCCCGGCAATCCGGGGGCCAATCAGATGCGAGCAGGAGATTACTTTCTTTGTTAAGCAGATGGGTCTCATTGATTTGGCTCTGTAGAAATTGGAAGAACAGGACCGGAAAGCTCTAAACATTAAAGAACAACTGCAGCGAGAACATCGGTACCTCAAGCGTCGATTGGAGCAGCTCTCCGTGCAGGGCCTGGAGCGAGTCCGCACCGACAGCCTCGGATCAACGATATCGACGGATTCGGAGCAAGGTAGGCGGTTCGAATTCTGCGATCTCCCATCTAAAAGTATCCGCGCTTGAAATGCACCGACAGGGGCAGGGTGTGCAGCAGGAAGACTCGAGGCCATTCAAAGCTACCCAACTTCTTTTTGAAAAACAAAATTTCAATAACAATTGGTGATGGGCTGGAAAAATAAATGTATTTAGCAGTTAGAGAGAAAACCGGTTGCTGCCGAGAAGAATGAAGCCAGAGGTGCAAAGCGTCAAGATTCAGCATGTTCTTTGCAAAACAAACGACAGCTCAGGCTGTGAGCCACGTCTTGTTCCCATCCAATTTGAGGTAATCCTGCAACAATTGCCATGTTAATGTTGGACCATGTCCCAGGACCTACTGAGGTGATTGTTGCATTGTTACTATTATCGTGCAGAATGAATAGTGGACTTTATTCTTGGTTACTAAAGGTAAGAGTTAGTTTGAGAAGTTGGAGTTACCCTTTCAGTCAGTGTTTCTCAACCTTGACCATTTTAAGGCATGTGGACTTCAACTCCCAGAATTCCACAGCCAGCAATGCTGGCTGTGGAATTCTGGGAGTTGAAGTCCACATGCCTTAAAATGGTCAAGGTTGAGAAACACTGCTTTAAGTGCATTTATTGCAAGTGGAAACTCTTTTGTATACATATCCTAACCCAGGAATGTCCAATCTTGGCACCTTGGAGGCTTATGGGCTTCAACTCTGACGCTTCCCTCCTCTTCCCCTGTGTAGAGGTGGACATTGAAGGCCTGGGCTTCACCCCGGCCGAGATGGACAGCAGCGGGAGCGGCAGTGACGCAGAAGACAGCTTGCAAGGCAGCTCGAGCGACAGCGGCTACGCCCGGCCCCACAGACGCCACGCCCGGCTCCTGTAGCCTCCGCCCCAGCGGCTGGATCTCCCGCCGGAAGCCCTTCCCCCCCCCCCCCCCGGAGGTGCCATCGACCGCCGCTCTTCAGAAAGCGCCCCTGGGGAAGACGCCTCTGCCTGGGGTTCCCTAGCCTGTCGATAATACCGCCGTAGAAATCCGGGGTTTGGGATATTGTAGATAAAATTTTGGGTTAATGTTCCTTCGCCTGCCCCTAATGCAAGCGGTTCCTCACTGAGGGGCTCGGTCGATCTCTCCCAGAGGTTTAGAACTTCCGCTTTTGAATAAATTACTTGGACCCATTTTGATAAATTGTTCTAGATGTTAAAATACGCAGGGACGCTGCCTGGAAACTAACACATTCATGTAAAGTTTTAACAACGTGGCTTGGCAAACGAGTGGGCACCGGACTTTTATCCCCGCACACCTCAGCCGACGTAACTAACCCAAACTGCAAAAATTCCCTTTTGTGTGCATTGTCCCACTCGCAGCTGCTTTGGAGTCTTCGAAAAGGAAAAGATGAAGCTGTTAAAGCAGGCTGCCATTTTAAAAAATAGTTTTGCAAAGACTGTCGCGGTCGGCTCATTTCGGTCGTTTTGAGACAGGGAGTGTCCGACGCTGATCCCTAAAGAGGAGGAGGGTGTGTGGCTCTTCTCTAGAAGAAGAAGAAGGAGGAGGAGTAGGAGGAAAGCCGGTTCTGTTAATCAGGTGACCTGCAACGACACAGCAGCTCCCCCTGTTTCGTAGCAGCTCATTCCGGCTATTCTAGCAGCAGCGTCGTCCTCCTGGCGGCTCAGATAGGGAAAAGGGCTGGGCAGGATGGACTCCTGGTACCCCAAAGAGCCTGGGGCTGTCTCTCCTTGCAGGTTTTTAGCAATAGCTGCACCGCACACCTTCCAGCACCAGCTGTCCATCCTCTTCCTCCTCTAGATGTCCAGATGGGGTCCCCGCTTTCTTAGAACCGTTCATGGGTCGGACGGAGGCTGACTTGTGTGCCAGGAAAGCGGGGGAATCCCAAGAGGTTTCAGTGCAAGGAAGGAGCCAGACAGGCAGAGGGGGTGGGGGCCTTTGACCAAGGGCCCCGGGGTCCCACGGCTTCTCTCCTCTTGCAGGCAGAAAGCTCCCGTACCGAGGAAGGCTTGGCGGGAGCTCTTGGCTTCTTGGACCGGATGACAGGCAGTCCTCGGCTTATCGCCGTGATGTGACCGACCTCTTTTGTGAACAGCTGCCATAGTCCTTAAAAGCAGTTGTTAAATGAACCAGTGAGTTAGCTATGGGCACAGTGTTCCCCCCCCCCCCCACAAAAAGCAAGTAAGTGCTACTTTTTGACAAAGCTGTCATAAAATAGAGGTTGTTCACCACGGGATGCTGCAAACAGACATAAATGCACTGGTGTTGCCGGGCACCCAAAATTTGGTCATGTGACTGCAAGGGGAGGGGCACAGATTGGAAATTAAAATTTGGATCTTAAGTAGCCTCAAGGTGGGTCCATCGTAACTGAACGGTTGCCAAGCGACTGCTCTTTAAGTAGATTATACATTAAATATTTCAGTATTTTTATTGGAGGATTTTGAATCGCATGACCCCGGGTAGGATAATTAAAGCAGCGTTGTTTGCTCAGTTTTGTGTTGTTTCTCTTATGTGGAGTTGCCAATAAACTTAAAGGAAAGTTTAGCTTTAAATTTCAGTATTGATACTGTGATTTATATGCTATGCTGGCAGTTTTCAAAATAACAAAACGCTCTTAAGATTGCCTCATTCGTTTAGCATTCATCCAGCGTTTTAGAATGTAGTTACTCCTCTTGTAGCAATATGGCAAAGTTGTAATTGAAAGCAGTTTAAGCTTAGTGAAGTAATTAGTCTGGCTTGCTGATAATTAAAAATGGACCAATCTTTGCATTTGAAAAAGGTCTTTTTTAAAAAAAAAAAGTGATAGAAAGCTATATACTCTCTAGCCAACTGGTTTATTTCCTATAGGTATATTTCCTATAAAATAGTCTGTATTGTATTTTCCTAATTCTTCTGAACTACTTAACTAGAGAAAGGAGATACTGAGCCCAACCAGAGTCTCAGGGACTCTTCATGCTTATCATATTGTGCCTTGTTAACTATTTCCTTCCTTCCTTCCTTCCTTCCTTCCTTCCTTCCTTCCTTCCTTCCTTCCTTCCTTCCTTCCTTCCTTCCTTCCTTCCTTCCTTCCTTCCTAAGTCAGAATTCTTGGCGGTGTCATTTTGCCTCAGATGAAATAGTGAGCTTATTTTACCTTTCCGCAGATGGGAAAAGAAACCCCCATTCCCATAATTCCCCCCCCCTTAGTGGAACGCGTAATGCTTGTGCCTCTTGGAGAAGGGGGGCACAAGAAACTCCGTGCTCCCTGCTCCAGAAATTGGTATCCTTCCACCCAAGAGTTCAGTCAATCATGGCGGTTTAAATGGATGGACGGATCCAGTTCGGATGCGCCCCGGTGGCCCCAGAGGGAAAAGGCCGGGGCCGGCGGAGGAGCTTGACTCCGGGGCGGGGCCCGCTCTTGAACCCGGGGCAGGTTGCAGGATCAATTCAGTGCCTTTGGCTATTAAAATCCAAAACTACAATTATGTGCTTTTCCGCATTGAACATTTTTAATCTTAAACAAAAGCATAGCCTGCTAGGATGGATGGAATTAACACGGTTGGTTTCTTTATGTTTTTCCCTTCGGTGCTACAAGACAGAAAATTAGGAATTCAGTTCTGGCAGCTCATGACGACTCTCAGTTTGCTTCTGAGTAGCCTCGGATTCGTCCTCAAGAATATGATGGGTTAAATTACCTTTTGTAGCCGTCCCTCCTTCATCCGGGAGGAGAGCTGTAAGGCTATTTCTGGCAGCTGCATTTAAGATTAATAAAATCTGTTACGTTACTTTGCTATTTTTTAGCATTATGAGTATGCTAAACTCATTGTACATTTCTAAAGTCCCCACGGGGAAGGGTATACAGCAATATAAGGATTGTGTGTGGCTGATTAAAAAAACAGCATTAGTTACTAATTCCTTTTGATTATTTTTGTTCCAATTTCCAAATCAGTGGTTTTTCTTCTAGAGGCTTTAATAACCATGAATAGGGGAAATTGCTAGTCATGTTAGTTTCCCATTACAATATAATGAATTTACTCATGGCTTTTAGAATGTTTGTTTCATGAAAAGCAATTCTTGCACAGAACTTTCCTACCGGAAAAAAAAATATATGGGAGAATGGAAAAGAGACTTTGTGAAAAACATCATTGACTTTCTGCCATTCTGATGTTTTTAAAAACATGTGTACAGTTTAATGAACTCTTCCATGCTGAGTATCAGTGGCTTTGTAGATCTTTTATATTTTCAATAAAGATTATTCAATATTCTGAGCTGCAAAGTGGTTTCTGGTTTTCACTTAATCATTGCTGCTCTGGCTGAGGCTTCAAGGACCGGGCCCCGTTAGCAAACCCCACTCCTGTTGCAATGTTAACACATCCCACCACAGAGCAGATATGGGTGTAAATTCTGCACACCAGGGGGACTGTTGAGAACAGTTTACGTTAAAGCTAGTTGTATAGATTAAGAATTGTCTGCTGGATCATTTAATTAAGGAAGAGGCTGAATGTTAAATCAATCTTACTTTTAAAAAACACAAAAGAAAATAGATATCAACGCAAGAACAAAAAACATTTAGCAGAGTATACGATATAAAAAGCATGCCGACAGAAATTTGCTGGATCTGTATTTTGTTTCGGGCAGTTGAGATGTGATTTCGCAGTGAAGACATCGGTCGGTTGCCGTGATCAGATGACCCTCTGCTTGCCTTTGGGTCGACAGGTGCCAGCACTAACTGCAGGGAGACAGGACCTGTTAGATCAGCCCACCCAGGGGATCGATGGACCCCATCGAGTCCTGGGAGCTTGCAGCTTCCCTGAAGGATCCGGTGGCTGGTTCGGTCCGATTGCTCCCCACAGGGGGTGGGTTGGCTGGGCCAAGGATCCCTCTGCTCCTACGCAGCCTCTCCCTGTGTGCCGGTCCTGACCTTGGTTGAGGGGGGCTGATGGTTCAAGGGATGGAAGTGCCAGGAGAGCCGCTGGGAGCCCCACTGGAGGGAGAGCCGAGGCGAGTCTGACACCCACCCACCCATTTTAGCCCTTGTGCCCTTAAGGGCAGGGGGATGTCTTCCTCCGCCCTTGTTGCGTCTGCTGACGCTGGACCCGTGGCTCTGATCAGAGTGGCCCCAGTCTCTGCGCGGTAGGGAGGGAACCCTGGAATCCGTTGGGCTGTCTGATGGATAAAGTCACTTCACCAAATTAACCATTTTGTTAAGCATTTTTTTCAAATTTTATTTGAACAATCAACCAGTCGGAGAGCTTGCCTCCAGAAGCTGTGGGGGCTCCATCACTGGAGGCTCTGAAGAAGAGACGGGACGGCCCCTTCTCCAGAATGGCGGTAGGGTCTCCTGCTTGAGCAGGGGGTTGGACTAGATGACCTCCAAGGTCCCTTCCAGCTCTATTCTGATTGACTGATTGCTTTGCTCCAGTCTAGACTCTTAATTGGGCAGGGCAGGTCAGGTCAAGGTTGTCCAGGACAGGGCCTGGAGGCGACTCCCAAGGAAAGGGACGGGCCCTGGGTCAGCTTGGCCACCTGTTTGGTGGATCTAGGTCAGGGATAGGCAACCTTGGCTCTTTTATGACTCATGGACTTCAACTCCCAGAATTCCTGAGCCAGCATAGCTGGCTCAGGAATTCTGGGAGTTGAAGTCCATGAGTCATAAAAGAGCCAAGGTGGCCTACCCCTGGTCTAGGCCACTCCGGGGGGAGGGGGAGGGGGGCTAACAAACGCATGCAGTACTGTTTCTTAATTTCTGTTAAGGATTTTAATCAAAAGATAAAAACAAACAAGAACCAATGTAAAGTTTCTTAAAAGGAGGAGGGGGGGGGAGAAAAAGAGAAAAAAAGCCAGAGGTGGGTACATGTCATATCTAAAATCACAAAAAAAATACAGAGCAATGTGTAAAT